AGAAGCTGAAGGAGGATAGATAGTTCAAGGCATACCTGAGCTTACAGAGTGAGATCAAAGACAGGCTGGTTAATTAAGACTGTGTCTCAACATAAAAAGTTTTAAAAGGGCTGGAAACGTAGTTCTGTGGTAGAGCACTTGCCTAGCATGTGCAGGTCCCTAGGTTTAAACCCCAGAACAGAAGAAAGATCTCTCTGAAAACAGGTATATCACAAAAGGGCTTGCTTTTCTGCAGGTTGAAATTGTTGAAGAATATTTTTTGTTGTTTCATTTTATTTCAACAGAAAGACACATGACCAAAGAAAATCATATTGGGAGAGGAATTCATCTAGTTTGTTACAGCTGTTATAGACAGTTTCATTCCCAAGACTTAGAGCAACCCGATTTACAGTTTCTGTATTTTCACCAACTAAAGCCGATTTTCCAGTCTTGGGAGACCTTGTTGGTTTCTGTCTTTGAATGCCAGCATTGTTTTTCCAGTGTCATTCCTGATGGTTACTGGCCATCAAGAACATTGCAAAGAGCCTGGTTCCCTAATCTATGGTGCACCCCTTGGAACGGGGTGGCTGGCCTGCTGCTTATATCTGCATTGCCAAGCCTAGTGATAGGAGCATGCTTCTCACTGACAAGCAGCAGTTAGATTACCAGAGGCCAAACACCAAACCCAGCTAGTGCAGGACTTGGGAAAATGGTTTCATATTTCAAATTTAAGAAATTTGGTGGCACATGCCTTTAATCCCAGCACTAGGGAGGCAGAGAGGTGGATCTCTATGAGTTCAAGGCCAGCCTGGTCTACAAAGCAAGTTCCAGGACAGCCAGGGCTACACAGAGAAACTCTGTTTTGAAAACGCAAGCACACAAACCAAAAAAGAATTAGAGAACCTCTACTGATTGTTAGTAGTTGAGGAAAACTTGCATGGCTGCTGTTTGATGATGAAACCATCTATTATAAGCTTTGCTATTCCGTTAGTTCCTCTCTATACAGCTCCGTCAGGCAGCAAGGACAGCTGTCTGGACTCTGAACCAGAGAACGTTCGCGAATGCCACTTCCCTCCTGCAGCACACCCCGCTGCTTCTTGTTTTGATAGTTTTAAAGGCACTTCTTGGGATTTGTATACATTTTCATACGTGTGTATCACGTTCCTTGCTCATAGTCACCCTGCTCATTACATCAGTTGGTTTTTGTGCCTCCTGTGGGGTTAGGAACAGGAAAGAAAGGAAGGAGGGCAGTGGTCACAAGACTTTCTGAAAGAAAGTCACAAAACATTGTTTGACTTTACAAAACACTAACTTTGTAAAAGACTATATTTCATTAGAGTCAATTATATCATTTTCTTTTTTTTTTGGGGGGGGAGGGAGAGTTGAGACAGCGTTTTTCTCTGTGTAGCCCTGGCTATCCTGGAACTTGCTTTGTAGACCAAGCTGGCCTCGAACTCAGAGATGCACCTGCCTCTGGGTTCGAAGTGCTGGGATTAAAGGCATGTGCCATCATGCCAGGCCAATTCTATCAGCCTTAATCAGAAAGATATATACAATTAACCTACGTAGAGATTTTGCTCAATCATTTATAGTCATCTAATTATTTTGCTTAAAGCATTTTTTAACGTGCAGAATAATGTTCCATTGTGACCTTTTCATAAATGTGTACCACTGTGCTTAGCTCATGTTCACCCCATTTCCTCTTTTTGGTAGTGCCTTCCTCTCTTCCTCCCCCACCGCCACCCCGCTTCTTCTCCCAGCCAGTCCACCTGCTCTGATGGCATTGCATTTATTTCTATAAAAAATCTAGTTCTGACGAAGTGTGGTAGCCCTCCTCTTTAATCTCAGCACTCAGAGGCAGAGATGGTCAATCTCTATGATTTCAAGGCCAGTCTGGTCTACATAGCTAGTTCAAGGCCAGACAGAGCTACATAGTGAGAGCCTGTCTCAAAAAAAAAAAAACAAAAAACAAAACCAACAACAAAAACTCAAATGTTGTGCATGTGAAAGAAAAATCTGTGAAATAAATGTGATATTTCTTCCAATAGTGTAAGTGAGCTTCTTATGCAACCAAAGGGTTGCAAATGTGGGAATTATAATATGATAAACACCTTTTTCCAGGCCACAGCTTAGGTTGTTCGTGGGGAAACAAAGAAAAATATGAATAATTTGTTTTTCTGATTTGCCTGGGGTTCGGATTTAGCATTCTTCCACCTGAACTGAATGCCTGACTCTTAATCGGTTTTACAAACTAGCATGGGTCTCTGTTGTGAAATAATTTGTACACTGTGTGAAGATGTATTTGTTGTGATCGGTGTAATAAAAAGCTGAACGGCCAATAGCTAGGCAGGAGGTATAGTTGGGATTTCCCAGGGAGAGAAAGGAAGAGGAGGGGATAATCGAGGTGCAGGGAGAGGCCAACGGGACTCAGAACGAGTTGGATATAAAGAATGGGAAAGAAAGGTAAAAAACCACGAGGCCAAATGCAGTTTGTAACCAGTCTTTCTCTATCCCACCAATCAGCTCCCAAATAACGACAAGGAGACTTCTTATTGTGAAAGCTCGACCTTAGTTTAGGCTTGTCCCACTAGCTCTTATAACTTAAATTAACCCATTTACATTCATCTACGTTTTGCCTCATGGCTCTTTACCTTTCTTTCCCATTCTGTGTGTCTGACTTGTTCTGAGTCTGGTTGGCATCTCCCTGAATCTAGTTCGTCTCCTCTTCTTTTCTCTCCCTGGGAACCTCCTGCCTAGATAACGTCCATTCAGCTTTTTATCACACCAATCACGGCAAACACATCTTCACACAGTGTACGAATATCCCACAACAGGTCTCTTTCCATGTGTTAAAGGAAAACAGAGCTCATTAAAAAAGAAAAGAAAAAGTACTAAAAGGGAAAAGGAAATAAAGAAAAATACCCGCTAAATAACTTCAGCCAAACCTAATTCCTTGCAGTCCCCACTCACCAGAAATGTGTGATAGGTCAGAAAGAAACACGACCAACGTGTGCCTTTGACCGAGTTGTGCAAGCGTTGTTAAATCAATCAGTGGCAACTATTTCAGAGAGAAGATTGAAACTTCAAAAAAAGACTTGAATAATTCTGAGCATTTACAATAGGAAATGACAGTTTAGTTATAATGACTTAGACTGGTGTTGTGACTCTACGAAAATCTTCTTTAACCTCCTTACAGGATTTGCTTTAATGATGAAGGTGGCCTTTCATTGTTACAATGAATATGAAATGCATTTTAAAAGGAAAACTGAAAGCCTTTTCCTAAGCGGGATGGTCCTTCCTATCGGCCCGCTTCCTGACTGAAGGAGGTTCCTGGGTGTTCTAGTTTCATACATGACATCTAAACGTTAGCCTGTCTGGGTTCGGATTCATCATCTAGGCATGCTCACGTGGTCACGGTGCCTTCATTTCCTTACCTGCAAAATGGGGTAGTGAGTATCTAAGATATTTTAAAGCTATAAAGCGCCTAGTGCCTAGAAGGCATGTCCCAGGGAGATGGGACGTGGTGAACATTTAAACGCCACCGGGAAACCCCATCTTAGAAGCCCATCACAAACCTTTGAACTCTTCAAGTTTCCTTTTCTTCAGGTCCCTTGCCTGAAGAAACCCAAACTAGCCTGCCAGGTACTCCTGGTTAATTATGCATAGGTTTATCCAAGCCATAGCCTCTTTGTCTCTAGGAAAGGGCTCAACTCCCTTTTCAAGTTCCCTCTAGAAGGCACCTATAGTCTTTCCTCATCCACGCCCTCCCGAGACTCCTGAACAGCTCCGCCTGGGAATCCCTTTTTAATAAATTCCTCTGCTCCTTAGAGGCTTGCTGAACGAACGTCCCATATCATCGTCTTAAATTGTTCTTCAAAATCGGTTGTCGAGCAGCGCCCCTGAGCTCCTCATCTGATTCCTAGTTAAAGACACAAAAGGGCGAGCTGGGGCTCCCACGTTGGTGAGCTGAACTGGAGACCAGTTTGGGGACTGTCCCTTTGGACACCACAAAGACAGAGCGACAGGAGGATAGTGACGCACCTGAATAGGTCCGCCAGAGCAAAGGAGATAAAACTAAAGCTTGCCGTGGATTGAGTGGGAGGGCAACACTCGCGCACGCGCGCGAACACACACACACACACGCATACACACACATACACACACACACACACACACACACGCATACACGCACACTCACACGGGTGAGAGCAGGGCAGAGAGGCAGCACAAGATGCCTGACAACCGCATGGCTCGGATCCGGACGCCGTCTCGGAGCGGGTATCGCAGGGCCCTCCCTACCCCCTCGGCAGGTTACAGTTAGCGCATCCCTCCCGCCCCGCCCGGCTCCCCACCCCCCGCGAACTCGGGTCCCCAGTGTCCTCTAGAACGCCGGCGTGGCTGTCGCGCTTTCGAACCCCCTGGTCCACTCTCGCCTTGGGGCGCCGGCGGCCGCGTCTCTGGCCAGCCTCCGGTCCCCGCATCAATCATTAACGCGGCGGCCCGAGCGGCTGCCGCCCAAGGGGGGTGGGGGGTGGGGATGGTAGGCGACGCGAGAC